ATAGAAGAATTACACAATAGCTAGACATAGACGGACATTCTTTTCTGTATTCTTTGAATGAACAGTTGAAAACAGATATTTCTAAACAAATTTATCTCTTGCATATACGGTATAATCGAAAAAAAACGGTGTCAGCGATGGCTATGTGCATTGAACTTATATGGTGAAATTTTGATAAAATAATTTAGTACTCTCTAAAAACACGGTATGTCGCTAGTGGTAGGAAAAATAATTTTTAGAGGTTAATAGTTTATTTGGTTGCCTGTGATATGCATATACAGGGTGTTTCCTAATTAATCTAAAAAATAAAAAAATCGTTCGAAAACGGCTTAAAGCGGGCTCTTAATAAGTATATTTATTTTTTTCGGCAACTGTAGATCAGAAAGGAAGTACTTTAGACCTAATGATTATATAAAAATTGTTTTAAGAACACATGAGGAATCACACCACAATTTTTTAGACTAATTAGAATACACCCTGTATATTGTCAACTTGACAATGATTGTTGGAAAAATTTTGGTTTTTATTGAATTTGGGCCTGCGTCTGCAAATACCCGGTATGTTTTTTAATATTCTATCTATCTAATTTTTAAATATCATAGTCAGAAATAGTTTTTATTAACTGTAAAAATAGTATACTTATAAGTTTTATCAAACATTGTGATTGACTTTCTACCTTGTAGTCAAAATTTATATTTAATAAACTGTAAAATATATATATTCTTATGTTTTATTAAAGTTACTCTGATATACTAATATATCAGGGTAACTTTAAAACTAAATCCTTTGAAATCAAATATAAACATAAAAAATATTTACAGCAGAAAAGGCGAAGGCGCTGGGTTAAACGTAGTCTCTACTAAGAACACGGAGGGGCGCTTTGACCCAAAATTTTACTATTAAGTTTCATATCTATCTTAATAGAAGATTATTTTCTTTTATCTATGGCTATGTGTCAGCGATCGCTGTCATTTCATATTTAAACTAGCGTGTACCCGCGACTTCGCTCGCGTCGAATTAATCATTTGTAATGATGATGATAAAGCAAAGCAAGAATTTCCATTAACATACAAACTGGACAAAATTTTATAAATTATGCGTGAACAAGCGAAAGAATAGTGATATTATATAATAATAATATAATAGCTCCCGTATATAGCGTTTAACGCCTTGGGAGTAGCAAGGTACAGCTTGCCATACTAGAGCCGTTCGGTATACAAAGAAGGTAATGTGGCTAGCACTACGCTTCAACCGCTTATTATTACCTCAGGATTGTGAATCCCAAATACTTATTTAAGGCGTTTTTTAAATAACAAATATTGTAATATTTGAACGGCGTTCCTCTTGGAATTTGAGATTCGAGACACCCCTCCTTATCGAACCTCTACACCCCATAGTCAATCCGTTTGCCAAAAATCAGCTTTAAACGTGAAGCAGTTTAAGCAGAATCATGATTACTCAATGGTCATATCTTATGAAACACCCTGTATTTTTAAAAAATCTTAAAATATGTAAAACAACAAAATAAAATACGTGTTTAAGAGTTTTTCCGAAAAACTCACCGGTTTTTAAATAAAAATATTCTAATATTTGAGGGGTGGTTTCACCCCCTTAGAATTCGAGTTTCGAAAAATCCCTTCTTATCGAACCTCTACACCCTAAAGTTAATCCGTTTTCCAAAAATCAGCGTGATTAATCACTGACCAGACTTTTCGAAACATCCTGTATACATTTTTTTAAAAATGTTAAAATATGTAAAAAATAAAATAAAATATGCGTGTTTAAGCGTTTTTTCGGAAACTTGGCCGTTTTTTAAATAAAAAATATTGTAATATTTGAGGGGTGATTTCACCCCCTTGGAACTGGAATTTCAAAAAATCCCTTCTTATCGAACCTCTACACCCTAGAATCAACCTGTATGCCAAAATTGAGCTTCTTGCGTTGAGTGGTTTGAGCAGGATCCTGATTAATCAGCGAGTCAGTCACCTAAAGTATTCATTATCCTGTAAAAGTTAAAATATTTTCCTGAAATGGCATCGTAGTATACTGGGTGCGTCTCAAAAGTGGCTCCCCTATTTGCTCACCCCTATAACAGTTAAAAAACGACATTTGGTATGTTAGTTAGTATGTAATTATGCACCCTCGGTATTTCTTTACTTTATTCGATTGAAAATAACACTCTGAATAGAATGATATATATCATATTATGTCAACTTTTGACATTTTCGCATATGGTTTATAAGTTTATATGAAATTATAACTTGCGGTTCGTAACGAAAATTTGACTCGAAATACCAAGTGTGTGGTATCAAATTATTCGTAAAAATTGTTTTTCCAAATATGTTCCTTCCCTCGTTCCATTTGAAAAACTTGAGATATAATTAAAAATGCGATTTGAGCATTTTCTAACTTGCCGGGACAAGACACTAAAAACATTAGACGATCAAATATAATTTTCCAAGCCTCCTTGATTAAGAATTAGTGTTTTTAACTTGGCCACGACACTCTCGATCAAAGCTCTCGATTAAATTTTAAAAGACGATCTTTTATTAAGCGAGAATGAAGTCAAAAGTAGGTATCACTTTTCTAGACGGTCTTCCGTTTTACCTGTCTGTGTAGACGGGGCTAAAAGTAAATAAATTCTTATGATACCGTTCATACAAACGCTAATGACTTTTGTTGTAACCTTGAAGAAGTCGGTATTTATGTAGATCAGGCAGCCCTTTGCAGACCGTTCAGGCCGTGGTTCAGGGACCATCTGGGTTTTTACAGTGTAGCCAGATTGGGCGCTTTATCCCCAATTTGAAAGTGTTTAGCGGTTAAAGCGGCACCCACGAAATAACGTTATTTCGTGGGTGCCGGTTGAAGTCGGTTTTCTAAAATCTTTTAAGATTAAAAATATTTAGGGGATTAATTTAATTCTTAGCTAGTTTTCCTATTTGTTTCTAAGGTATGATTAAAAAGAAAACAGAATCGAGTTGGCTTGGAATTGACGATCGAAGATATTTACCAAATAATTTTTCGCATAAAATGACAGCGTTATACAGGGTGAGTCTTAAATAAGTGCAAATAGTTTCAGGGCTGGTATATCTCGATAAAAGAAGCAAAGAAACATATTTTCTCTTTACCGTTTTTCAAATAAATCTAAAATAACCGCGATATTTTACTTTGAAAATCTCCAAAAAAAAAGATTTTTTGCTAAAATTTTGAGAACCACTGGATCTTTTCTGAATTTTCTCTCTTGTATATTTAATCTACTACCTATGCTGCCATATTAGCAACAAATTATATTTTTTAACTGAAAACTAAAAAAGATTCCAAAATTTTTTTCAAAAAATTCCAAATTTAAAAAAAAAATCCGCGAAAATAACCTCATAATCTTGTTTCTAGAATCGTCTTTCTGGGGTCGAAATATACTACACCTAAAAATATTTGCACTTATTTGAGACTCACCCTGTATATTTCTAAGCCAATTCTGACCCTGTTTTTATTCAATCTTATGGTTCAATTATTTTTTTTAATTTTTTACTTATTGATTGAACATAGAAATAAAATATTCATAAAATTTATGCATGAATTATTCCAACTGTATTCTTTAAGAGATTTGTTTAAAAAATGGTAATATAATAATATACAAAAAACTATACATATACAGGGTGTCCCAGAAATAATTAGCAAGTTTTTTAACTTTTTCGAAATTTTTTTAGTTTTTGGTTAAAAAACATAATTTCTTGATAGTATGGCAACATAGGTATTAGATTAAATTTACAAGAAAGAAAATCCAGAAGAGATGCAGTGGTTCTCAAAATTTTAGGATTTTTTTTTAGGAAATTTTCAAAGTAAAATAACTCCGTTATTTTGGACTTATTTGAAAAACGATAAAGAGAAAATATGTTTCTTTTATCGAAATCTACCACCCCTTAAAATACTTGCGCTTATTTCTGGGACACCCTGTATAAATATAATTATAAAATCATATAAATCAATTATACTGACAACCTCGCAAATTGTATGCGAGGGCCATCCACTAGGGATGTGCGATTCTGTAAAGGGATCGATTTTTTTGGATCGATCTAGATCGAATGATCGCGTTCCGATACAAGAAAAATTGCAAGTGATTTTTTTTTTAAATTCAATTTTTGACTCTGATTTTCTGTTTTCGCAAAAAAATTAAAAATATGTATTTCTATTTTTTCATGACTTTTTTACACAAAAAGATATAAAACAAATTATACCAAAAAGGTGTAATTCTGAATAATACAACGGCAAACAAAATTACTTTAAAAAAACGTTAAAACAAAACAAAATAAGATTCTAAATAATTAACCAAACAGTAAAATTACCTTAAAATGATTTCTTATTTTTATTACGTAATTAATGATATCTTCTGAAATTGAAAATAAAATTTGGGTTGCATTTAGATTCGATTTCGATCTAAAAGACTCGATTCTATACATAATATAAAATCGGTTGTGTATTAATAGATTCAAAAAATCAGGCCAAACCAACCAAACCGCATGTCAAAAGATCGATTTTCTGAAGAATCGATTTAAATCGAACGTCCCTACCCCTACGATCGATCAACTGTCAATCGAAAAGTCAATGGCTGCTGGCTCGAAATGTTGTAAAATAAAAGCATAATATATTTTCTTAATTTTTACGTTTACAAAGAGGTTGCTTTATTAAATTTTTGTGCTTAAATGAGGTCAATGGACATCTATTTAAGGTAATAAAGTGTTAATAATCGATGGTTTTACTGAATCTATATAGAAAATTTTACGTTTTTGTTGTTCGTAATATCGACTGGAACTGGAACCATCAAGTATGCTTTGATATATCTATTCTTTTTAAAAGTGGCGGCTTTTAGGTGCTTTTTGTAATAGTTGGCCGCTAAGCTTTTTATAAATCTGACAACGCTGGGTACCTGCTGGGTACCAACCATAGTACCAACTTTCCGTTAAATTCAGTGTTTGTTTTTGTTGCAACTCATTGCATGTTGCCCGCTGCATCAGTGTGGTCAGTCGATGCCCGATGGATCAGTAGATTGTTAGTTAATTCATAAAGGTACATAAAGAAGGTGGTAAAGTTAGTAACTACCCTGGAGAAAAAGACACTATGTATTTTTGTTGTGTTATAGTGCTAAAGGTGTCAGTTATAGTTCTATCCGAGCAGCTCAGAAAATTGTTACTGTATAACAAACTGTTTTCCAACAACCAAACTTAGTTCAATCGTTGCAACCGTTTTTGTTGATTTCAAAAGTTTTCCAAGTTTTCAATAATTCAGAAAGAAATATGTAAGTACCTATTTCAGATTTATAATAAATATAAAAAAAAACAATGACGAGGATGTAAGTACAAATTTATTTTTTAGGTTATATTTATTAAAATATGTACCTAATGTAGCAAACTTTTTAATTTTTGTTTCTTTTTGTGCTACGATAGACAAAATCGGAAAAAGTTACATCATTTTGCGTGTTGTTCAAACATTTCGCACAGAATTCGCACTTTGTTTATATTTTTTCACATGATTTATTATGAAAAAATACGATGTCATTGAAATGTTTTTTTTTTATAATTAAGGGGGCTCTAGATGATCAGTAGTTAAATATTAGACCTTATGAGAAATTGATTTTTATATTGATTTAAGATTATTTAATTGTAATAAGTACGCGATTTTCAAGAACATCTTAGCCTATAGGTAGGCTTTAGGCTCTTGCTTTATTTAATAGGTATGTCTTGATTAACAACAAATAATTTATTAAATAAAAACAGTAGCATGTGCAGTTTTTTAGCAGGCTGTGGTAATACAAGATTTGTGACCTACCTATATTATAAAGAGTGCAAAAGTAAAAAAATCTTTTAAAACCTGTTTCACTAATTATTTATGTTATTTAACTGATCCCAATTGAACAATAGTAGGTATTTTATATGCAATTTGTAATAATCATTGTGTGTTTTTATTTAATTTGTTATTTCATATACTGTATGATAAAAAACGGCGTCAGTGATGGCTATGAAATGAAGATCGCTGCTGACATTTTATATATAAAAATATATAAGGAATGTCATCGATTGTCATTTTCGAACCAAATGTACGCCGTTTTTTTTTATCATACTGTACATGTACTAAAATATTTTAATTTAATTTTAAGTACCTACGCAATTGAAATGGATGGAAGCATCTTGAATAATAGTTCATATTAAGCATATTTAGTAATAAAAAATCATCTAGTTCTTCTTGCAAAAATTAATATCTAGGTATATGATAAAATATACAGTATTGAATTCCATAAATTAAAAAAAATATGGATTTTTTATTTATATATTTTTTACCAATGGTTGTGCATAGTTTACATTCCCAAAGATGTTTTATTCTGAAATTGCTACAATAAATACATTTCACAGGGTGTAAAAAATTGGGCCAAATATTGAACACTGGCATTTAAAGACAACAAAATATGACTATATAAAAATATATATAAAGAAGTGGATTTCTGGGATGTTAAACTTTATTTTTATATTATTATTGTTAATTTGAAACATTAAAACCCAACGGTATATAGGTATGTTTTAAAATTTTGGTAGAGCGTACTTTTGTTTATATTTTATTTAAAAAATTGTGGGGGTTTTAATTGTTTTTGAGTTTTTTACGACTAAGAAGATAGGTAAACACTTTCCAGGTGTTTTATAAAATCTAGTACCGTATGATCGAGAAAAAACGGCGTCAAAGGCGGCTGGGGAATGACTATCGATGCTATTTTTGACGAGATAGAACTCTAGACGTCAGTTACTGAGAACTGACATAAAATTTGTCAAAAATTAATACCTTATATAGAAAAACCAGAAAAGAATAGAAAGTTTCCAGATACACATATCTATTTCCAAAAAATTGTTTTTTCAAACGTTTAGATCTGCACCAGTTCTACGCAATAAAAAATCGATATTAAATCATCCTTAATGCAGTAAACGCCTATAAAAATAAAGAAGAGCAAGACCAGTAAGACTCTAACCTAACTAAATCTCGTCGTCCGACAAGCCTCCGACCGAGACATTTCGACAACATTTTTGATTATTGTATTGTTAAAATGTACGGATTAGCCTTTTATTATTGTTTCATACACACTAGACCGTTCAGATTTGCCAATATTGCATTGATTATAGCTGTAAATAAAAATGTGTGTTTAATACCAGTAAATAATCCGTTAGTTGATGGAAGAAGTATCGTGTTTATCCACAAAATTAATTGTAGGCTTTTAAATTTTGCCTAATATGGTCATATTTTGCAATATTCAACTCATAATTAGGCATTCCAAACCACGTGACTTTAAAATGGCGGCTGGGGGCAAGGTCAATGAAGCCGATCAGCTGTTCTGTCATAATTCTATGAATTGAGGTTTTAGTTTTGTATTCAGTTTATTTTTTTTTAATAATAGGTATAGGTACATACCTATTGGGCCATCAGTATGTGTAAAAAGTAATAGAAATAAATAAAAAGTATCTTTCTTATTGTTTATTTGACAATTGTATATTTTTGTTAAGGAGTATAACAGTATATACTACATATTCGTTTATTACGATATATAGACAATAAGCTAATTTTGCAATTTACACTCGTGAAAATAAGAATTACAATATAATGTTATAAATAAATAAATATTTGAGTAACAATCAATAATACACTGCGATTCCTAAATGCCATTTTAAAACAATATGTTATATTTTTTTAGAGCATCGTAGATGGATTGTACCATTCTATTTATAAGGTTTTATACCTTTTGTAAAAGACACTTTAAAACGATAAGCCAAATCTTTTAAACTTGCTTAGAGCTGTCGTTTGTGTAAACGGTATGTAATCTGCAATAAGGCGAAATTACTAATTTTAGATGTTGCAAAACTAAGCTACTCAAATTTGTTGCATAAGTCATCCATCGTGATGTATGTTTGTACACTAAAACTGTTAATTCTGTTACATCTGTTTCAATCACCCGATGAGGTTCTGCTTCAGACGTGTTAAGAATGGCCTATAATAAATATCAAAATTAGTATATTTTAAAATCTGAACAGTTGTCAGTAATCTCACTTCATATTGTACTTTTCTTCTTTAGTCAGCCCTTAGTTTTCTCTCAATATCATCCTTTTTCTCAGATTTGTACAATTATGACCCATGTCTTGTGACGGAACCAACTCAATCTGGATGATTTTCATGTTCTAAACTAACAAGTTTTCCTAGAAATAACAATTATAAACTTGTAATATTCCACCATTATTAAAACAGAAATATCAATAAAGAATTTTGATTACAGACCTGTTAGAAAGTGTTTGCTACACACCCTCTGATTTTTATTATAAACCACATATTAAATCATCTCCTTTTATAGCTGCCATCCAAAGAGAACGACGATTCTTGGACAATTAATTTTGTTCTGTTAAGAAGCGGTGATTTGTGGTCGTAGGGACACAATAAAAATATAAATTGTCTTTATTTGCTCGACTTCCGACACGTAATCGGCATCTAACAAAACGTCTTCAAATATTATGTTTCTCGCAGAATTTATATCCTGGCTATCAAAATTCACTATAAATGTGTTAACAACTAACTACTGAGGCACAATATGAACTGAAAAACACTATAAAATGTATTAAATATAACTTAGCTCTGGTTTGACTACCACAAGGCCCAATGTAAATACAGCCATGTGTGCCCCCAGCGGCCATATTGGATCGATTTTGACAGGTCGTTGGAATGCCTAATTGTTGATACTTCTGGTGGATGATGTTCAATTTATACATATATAAAATATAAACAAACCAAATTGAAGTACTAGAAGCAATAAGGTGAGATAGTTATTTTTACGAATCCCTTTATTATTACTTCTTTACTTATAGAGTATCTGTTTCTGAGTATGCCTAAGTTTCTGTTTTCCAAGAAGCATATTAATTAAATGAACAAAACTGTGTCCAAGAAATAATCTATTGCATAGAGAATTTAATGAAAACAAAATTGGTGATGCTGTGTTCAAGTAAAGTTCCATGCAGGAATCAATGGTTATTGCTAAAATATTTTATTGGTGTATTGTCAATTTTATTTACTTATATATTACGTTATTTAATCTCAATAATTTTAGGCTCCTAAGTCATTTATTTACATACTTAACTTTTAACGTAACTACTGGTAGATTGTAGGAAATAATATACACATTGGAACAATTTAAGTAAATAAATGAATTAATATAATACATACATCAAGAAGTAATGTATAATTTTACAAAAAGCTGTATTAATCACTTTCGAAAATCATAATTGTTTTTTTTAGTAAGTCGCAGACAAATATTTTAGGTTTGTTATTAAATTAAATGATAATGTAATAAGTACAGATTTAGACTCTTGAACCAGGCATAGTATATTAATTAGTAGGGTTCACAGTAAAACATATTTTGTAATACCATTCGAAAGAAAATAAATACCTATATTATACTGTTTATAAAGTGAGTTTCATTGTAACATAACTTAAGAAAACAATTAATATGCATATGTCAATCATAAGAAAAGAATCTATTAATTTAATGAACTATACCCATAGTACTCGGCAAACAGTAAACCAAACCAAAGAAACTAAGACTTACAGTGTTAGATCATGTAGTATATAAATATTTTAATTTTATCATTTAATAAATAAATACAATATAAAATTTAAAATGCCAATTTTTTATTTTAAAACAAGTGATTTATATATGTATAAACAATTTACAATTATTTATCATTTAATTTATTGGCCACAGCTTCCGGGATTATAAGGCTAATATTTTGCTGCCTATAGTGCCTATATCTCAAAAAAGAATAATTAAGATTAATTAATGATTAAGTATCCCTGTATTTTAAATGTTGAATCTTATGGACTGAAAAAACAGCTTTCAATATTTCTACTTTCACTGACCGAAGATGCAGAAACCTAGAAGAAATTCAAAAACAAATTGTACAAACATTTTAAGGTTTTCCTTAAATCCTCTATACAATAGACTATTTCTTGGACATAGTTTTGTTCATTTAATTTGTTTCTGAGAGGTTATACACAGCTGTAGATATTCTATAAGTAAAAAAGTAATAATACAGATTCGTAAAAATATCCCACCTTACCGTTTCTAGTACTTCAATTTAGTGTGTTTATATTTTATACATGTATAAAATTGAACATCATCCATCAGAAGTATCAACAATTAAAGTGTGACCAACGGATCTGTAGCTACGGGGTATCGGCAGGGGAACGCAGTTGTAAACAAAACACGCCCAATTAACC